TCTTGGCTGGCGTCGGCGTTTAAGCCTCCTGCCCCCCTCTTGGCCGTAGGTGCTGCATCCATGATGCTCAGCGATCCGGCGACTTTGGATCGACGCCGCTCCTCTCATGGTCGAGGATCGGTCTGTCCGATTCGGACCGTTTCGCCCCGCCATCGCGCCCCTGTGCCGCCTCCAACTGGCTGTCGATGTCAGTGGAGGGCCTTGGAGAGAATCAATTGAGTTCCCAACAGAGCGAGCCCGGTGATGAGCGCAAAAAGCAGCCCAGCCTCTCCTCGTCATTGTCCGGACGCCGGTAGCGGAACACGATGCAAACGAGGCGCCGAGAAGCAGCAGATGGATGGATCTGAGACATCTGCGCTGGGAACAAAGCGGCTGCCTCGCCCACTGAGCAGACCACGACCGACCGGCGGTACTTACAACGTCAGGCCCGAAAACCGCCTTGCTTGGGCTTCCCTGGACCATACGTTGATCTGGCCTCGGACATGCATCGTGCGCAATACTCTGACCTCGAGCGAGGAAGCGCACGATCGACATGCTCAGCTAATCCGTCCGTTGGCCTGGTCGAGGCTGAGGTCAGGTCGGTGTGGGGGATCCAAGGCGCAGCCAGCACGGCGCGTTGTCGAAGCGAAGCGGCAGCAGACCGCTAGGCCGGCCAATCTCGACCGGTCCCTTGGGTCTATCTAGCCCATGCCTCGATCAGGAGGGCATGACAGTCCAATGCAACGTGTGAAGGTGCCTTCGAGAACACCCGCATGCCCGTGCACCTCGCCTTCATCTTGCTGCCGGGTCCAACGTCTCATGGAAAGGGGCGAGGTCCGTGGCGTGGGACCAATGTCGACAGCAACGGCTCTTTTCTGCCCTTGACGGCGTGGCCGAGTGGATGATGACTGCGATCTGCCAGGCTCACCGTTCCAATTTGGCCCGACCGCATCTGCTGCGTTGCCGGGGACAAAACGGCATGGTGGCGCATCGCGTGGGCCCGCTTTCCAGGCTCCAAGTACACACGTACCGGTAGCTGGAGCGGGTGAAGAGAGAAAGGGAGAGAGCGAGCGTGCTCGGTCGCTGCACCGCCACCGAGCTTTGGCGAAGCAGGGCCACGCTCGGCCCGGCCTTTCTCCCTGGCTCTCCCTGGCGGTTTCTGGTCGGTCGTTTGCCAGAGTGGTATCAGAAGCGTACGGGAGCCAATGGCCAGCTAGATGGATGGTGGATCCTAGGAATCCGCCACTCTTCTTCCTAACGGCGTTGCGATCTTGGTCCACGAAGATGGTAGTGCACCGAGGAGAGAAGCAGGGGACCAGCATTGCGCCCAGCGCATCCCCGCTTACCTCTCTGACTTCTCTTGCGCCGCCTGTTACCTCTGCCTGTCGTCCTGGCAGACCATATCGAGCCTCGCCGAAAGCTCTGGCTCGCTCACGATTCCAGTGCGAGCGTCAGCCAGCTTTCGTCTGCGGGCGCAAGGTGGCGGAGAGTGCAGGCCATGCCGCCAATGACGCGCCCCGCGCGGTGGGGCCAGCACCGCCGCCGTCCGCCGTCCGCCGACGACGACGGGGCGTGACGGACGGCGGCAAGCTGTGAGCGGTGAGCGCCGCTCTGGTGGTGTCACGCCGGGGACAGAGGAAAGCATGTGCAGGCGCTGGCTGGCTGGGCGCGGAGGGCGGGGCCAGCCCAGGCCGGGCCATGACGCTGGCCGAGTTGCGGAGGCGGCGGGTGGTGAGCCACAGACAGGTC